AGAGAGAGAGAGAGAGAGAGAGAGAGAGAGAGAGAGCTCACAAGGAATCAGAAGTGGTTCAGTGATCACCTCATTTTGCAAGACCTTCGACAGATCACCCTAATAATTGCTCAGCATTGACATAGTCTGAAGGATTTGGCAGCTTATGATGCTGCATCTCAGTTGCAACCATGGGCATAAAACAACTTGAGGAGGAGGAGGATGTGAGACCTGGTCAGGTGTGTGAACCAGTATTGATCAGCTTCATCTTCTGGGTTAATGGGGACAACAACTTGGCTCGGATGGCAATAGCAACAAGGCAGAGAGCTCTGTTGTTAGAGGACTGATGGTCTCTCTTAAGGGCCCAGAATGATAATGGGCAGTAGAAGGCAAAGCATGCTAGGAGTTAGGACCACTGCAACATCCCAAGGTAACAGCTCAATCTAGTGGGGGGAACTTTTAATGACAGTTTTAAGTTCTTGTTGCCTTTCTGCAGTGGGATGCTCACTTATTAATCTGATGGTCCAGTGATTTAATCTGATTTTGAGATTGATGTTGCTGCATCAACTGCTCCATTTAGCCAAATAAAATGGGAGCACTGAGATCCAAGAAAGGATACAGAGCAAGAAAACCTGCTGAACAATGGATTGATGAAATAGAATCAGAACAAATATGTTCTGATCATTCACTCTCTGGCAGAGTCTCTACAAGCTGTACAAGTCAGAAAGAACTACTATTAGAAGCATGACTTGCAGCAGTAAGACTATCACTACAAGAGAACATGAAATGATGCAGCAGAGAGATTAGATTGCAACTAGGACCAAAATCAATGCGGTCAATCGAGTAGGATCAGCATCTACAGACCTAAACAAGATATGAGTAAGTTGAAGAGCAGCATTCAATTCGGAGGTGGGAGTCCTCCAGAATACTAGCGAGCTATGAGTACATGGTTGTGCAAGTAAAAGTTAGTGGGAGTAGGAACAAATGGATTGCTCTCCATCAGAGAGAGGCAACCCATTGACACTATAACTCTGGTAGGTGAAGGTTAGAGAAGTTCACATGAAAGTTGTAGCCATAATAAGTTGGATTCCTTAAAGATGGTCCCCTTTCCTTTACTACTGAGAGACATGGGGAAGATGATACATCACAGCGAAAGGTGTAGCAGTATTCTTGTGAACCACTCGAACCCTTTGGAGTGATGCAGAGGAGAGGACGGATGCTACATGTGCTGAGGAAGTACTCGAATGTGTGTAGATAGCATTTCTTAAAACACAGCTTACATTCCAACAAAACAATGTACTTCATTAGGTTAACAGCCCTGCTGGGCAATGCAAGAACGCAGGAGAAGTATCCTTATCTGTGTGTAGAGTGGTGCCAAAGGCGTCCTGCTCATAAAAGAGGGGAGAAAGGGAGAGTCCATACCATGGTAGGCCATCTTGCTTGCCTTCGTAAAACGACCCCTGTGAACATTATTACAGGTGGTCCAAAACAGGGGTCGAACTCTTCCTTACGTGCTTGTGCTCACCCTGTCTCTTTCTTGCTTGCATTGTATTCCTAAAACATGCCTCTCTCTCTCTCTCTCTCTCTCTCTCTCTCTCTCTCTCTCTCTCTTTCATTGCAACATGGTGAGAGGGGACAAAGACGTGCACTGGGTTGGAGGAAAACTGCAGTTCAAAAAGCAATTACACTGTGGCAACATGGTTCAAGTACCAGACCTTGTTCTCAGTTTTGGAAGCCTTCAGGGTGGCCTCAACAATGCAGCTGCCATGTTCTGAGTTGTGATATTTGAGACAAACCATCACTTCAATTCTCTGCTAATTAACATCACTTTTAATTCTTTGTTCCATGTAATAAAATCTTTTCCTGTTCATGGAAACAGCTCTTCTTCTGCTTCTTTTGGGATTTCTTGTATTGCGTTGACAAGACTGCTGACATTGGTTAACAAGCAGAACTATATATATATATATAATGACAATTTTGACTACTGTTCATGATATATCTATCCATATATTTGAAGTAGGAAAATTAATGATAAAAAAATAACTAATATACATCCATTCTAAATAGAA